AAGATGTAACAATCCAAGAACAACGAGGAACTGAGTAGATGTTTGTTCCTCCCAGGATGTTTTCAGCTCCCAGGATGTTTCTTGTTCTGGAGAATCCCAGCATCACCGGATCATTGAGGTCTCAGTTGTGACCAGAGGCCAAAATGGAATTATGTCTCGGAATTCCACAGCTGGGCTGTAGGCAGGAGAACTAGGCCTAACCAAATGATTTTTCCCTAAAATTATGTAGCATTGCTCCCGACAGTATCCTGGTTGCCTCTTCAGTTCCTTGTACTTAATAGTCACCCTCCAATCTTTCATGGCCAAGAGGCATAAAATGAAGATGGAAAACAGGCAAACACTAAATTTCAGGAGACCTTGGACACTATGTCCTGAATTTATAGGTAGAAGAAATTCTTTGGTTGTTTTAGTCAGTGGAGCAATTTGATCATGTATTTAAACAATAACCAATGGTAGCATAGAGGGTTGGATAAGAGGAATAAAGTCTTAAACTATGAAGATTAAGAACAAAGAGAGTTGAAGAATATCCATCCTAATTAATGGTTACTATTTTCTCATAAAACTATCATCTGAGAAAGGGGAGGGGAAGGGGAAGAAAAAATAATTAAGATGTGTTATGTACATGTTCCAACTCCCCACAATGAAGATCGTATACTGCAAACATGTGCTAATGAAAACATTTTTAATTTACAAAATAAAAATATAAAATTATCAACTGCTGATAATGTTGAGCATAAATAATGTTGAGCATAGCAGCGGAGCCAAATGACAGAGGCGCCCCTCGGTGAGATCCTCCAGTGGAGTTGTGGGCTGTCCTAGGTTGAGAGCTGGCATGTCATGTGAGAGGAAGGATAAACACATGAAGGATCTGGGAGATACGAGGAATGTGGTGGAAGGCATAGACCACAGGACTTGACCTGGATAAAGAAAAGTCAAGACGCAAGATGTGTTGGTGCACGCCTGTCATTCCAGCAATTGAGAGGCTGAGGCAAGAGGATCACCACCCGTTCTAGGACAGCCTGGACTACCTAGTGGGTTCAAGGCCAGCCTGAACTATATAGCTAAAAAACTAACTAAAGAAAGAACTCTCAAAAAACTAACTCTCAAAAAAACTAACTAAATAAAAGAGTCAATATAGTAAAAACAAAAAAGTGATCAATTTGAGAAGAGACAAGGAAGTGAATCATTACAATCTTCATTTTACTCATTTACAGCATTAGGAGACTTGATATAAAAAATATGGATATTAATGATTGAAATGAAGTTTGAGGATTATCTGAGGATTTCAAGAATAATTGGATGGAATATATAATGAAATTCAATGCTGTTTGATTTATGGGAACTAATTATCTCATTTTAAACTCTAAAATGACTTTAAAGTCTAAAGTGAAGCAAACTTCTACTGGTTCCATATAAATATTAACATGGGCCCATAGCTGAAGAGCTAGAAAAATGAGACCAGACACTATAAAGAAACTTGGTATTGGCAATAAGATTTTTAATAATTATTGGAAATAAGATCCAGAGCTGTGACCCTAAATTTATTAATAATGCTCACCATTATCAGAAACTAAATCACATAGTATATGAAAGAGTTGAAGAAGCTGCTGAAAAATATATTAGCAATCTTTTAAGCCAATTTTAAAAATAAATTTGAATCCTCAGAACTGCATAAATAAATAAATATTAGGTAAATTTTGGTAATTATTCCTTGTTCTTTATCACTTTTCCAATTTTTACTCATCTTTTTCACTATTGAAACAATTTTTGTATATAAAATGAAAGCCAAGATCAATGTAAAATCCAAGTTAGGAATCAGGTCTAGAAACTACCAAAGACATTTTTGCCTGCCTATTTGTCATGTTCATTTACTTTTATCCAATTATAATGAGAATATATTGTCATTTCAGCACAACTGCATTTATTTCTTTGAAAAATACACAGAAAAAAATCACGCCTAAAAAAATGACAAATGAACACATACACCAATTAAAAAGTTACATCCCACTGTATCAGTTGCCTATTGCTATGTTATTGGTGAGAAGCAACTAAACACCATCATCACTGGGATGGGAAAACAAGTGTTTGTGTTGACATGGTGACAGGTGTGCGGTGTGGCGCCACTGACCTTTCTTATCTCATTCAGGACCTGTGAGTTGAGCGGGTGGCTCGGATTCAGGTAGAACTACAAGGAATCAGCTCAGCTGAGGCAGTTATACTAATTGTCCATCTGGAAACATCAGGCTAGACAGAAATGTGCTTCTCATGGCAATGTCAAAAGCCCAATTGCAAAAACACTTTCAAAACTCTGCTTGAGTCACATTTCTAACATCTCATTGGCCAGAGCCTGCCATACGAGACCAGGGGTGGGACATTAGGTCCTGCTCACAGTGAAAGGATGTTGATCATGGTCATTGTTGCAATCTGTTATATTCACTTTTAAGAATTTACCCAAAAAAATGTTTTAACCAGATAAAGAGCAAAACTGTACATCAATATACTGATTAAAATATGGAAAAATTAGAAACCTAAATATCCATGAACAGGGACTTCCTTAAACACATCATACTATTAGAAAATGAAAATTTTTGCAGTTATTAAACTATTTGTAGATTCTTTTCCTTTTTTAAATGAAAAGATGTCTACCACATATTGCAGAGTGAATACAAAGGAACTCACAGAATAGAATGAATGGTATGAGCCAATTCACATAAAATGCATAAATATTTCCACAAGTTGATACATAAAAATTTATTTTAAAATGTTATTTATAATCTTTTCTGAATTGTAAAGTTTCAGATGTTTGTTTCTCTGTGCTGATTGTTTAAAATAATATACAATATTTATAAAGATACAGTAATCAAAATATAACAAGTAACTCATATTTAAGATTAAATATAGAGAAAAATAGATCTTAATTTAACTCCTGTCTTATGGTAAAGATTTAGACAGGGAGTCCTTGTTTTTATATATAAAAGAGAAAGTAAGTACTCACTTCAAAACAAATTTTACTTTTTATTAAACTTAGTTGAAAGCACAAAACGTTTTATGCTTTATACTTTTTGTATATCTAATATTTAAACCAAATCTGTTTTACTACTGAATATATTTGGGTCACAAATGCAATTTCTATTAGTTCTGAGGTTCTTTATGTCCAGTAAGGAATTCAAATTTGAGACTATTTTTAATAATTTGCTAGACTTCTTTAAGAAATAAGCACTGAAAAAGAATATATACTCAGAGAGCCAAAAGCTTCATATTTTAAAGAATATTCTCTTTGTAGAAAATGATAGAAAGATGTTTTGTCTCTAAAAATATCTTCCAACACTAGATTTCATGAAATGACCCACCTTATGAGCTTTATTATGGACATCAGTGGTTTCAAATGACATCTTTCTATTGATACACTGAGCTCATCCTTCTACTGTCTTGGAACTTCACTCAAAAAATTGTGGGCAGCCCAACTTTGATTGTACCCTAGTTACAAGCATCCTGGCCACAAGGCACTAGAAGGAATATACAGAGTCTGCCAAAAAAAAATTCATACACACTTCAGGAAAAGAAAAACAGTAAATGTCTGGAGACTAATGCCCACCACTTTGAGCATCTCTTGTAATTGTAGAGGCCAAAGGTAGCTTGTATTAATCTCATGATGTCTCAATAAATTTAGTATTAAAATATTTATTCAAGTTTTTCTTTTCCTGAAGTGTGTATACATTTTTGGTGCCCTCTGTATATTAAAGAAAAGGAATGAAAACTAGTTCTGATCATATATTAACCAGCAAGCCCAATACAGTGATCCAAATTTGGCCAGTGTCCCCAGATGAAAGAGGACTTAAAGTTTCTGAGGATGGTTTGCTGTCCAAATAGTATAACGTACCTCTCTGTCTTTGCTTAGTATGGCTGTGCACACAAATTCAGCTGCCACATATTTAATTCATTGTCTTTTACTTTGTACCAGAAATAAAGATTCTAGCTATCTGTACACTGCAGGAGATATGCTTCATTACCAAGAACACATTGCACTCAGACATCCCAGCAGAATACTAAACTGGCGATGCATTCGTTCTAGTTCTTAAATGCCAAATACTAGCATTTGGAAGTCAAAATTGTTTCTTTAAGCTTCTGTAGTTCATTTTCCAGTACAATTTCACTTACACATTGAGTTCTATTTTATATGTTGTTTTTTTGTTGTTGTTCTTGCCTTCCTTCATTGATTGTATGTTCCTTAAAGGAAGGAAAAGCATCCATTAATATTTGTAGCCCTAGAACACTTACTAGATTTCTGGTAAAGAGTAGACTCTCAATAGTTTCTAAATAAATGAATAAATTCTATTTGTAGTCCTGAATAACAAAAATAAATCTGATGAGATAAAATTAAAAGGGTGCTGGATGTTGAGTACAAAGATGTAATAGACATTGTTTGCTACCAGTTTCACATTCACTTCCTAAAACAATCTGGCATCTTTTATAGCAAAATCTACTTCCAATGATAGAGACTGAAACTATCGAGGCTTTCTTCCCCAACCTTTCTTGCAACTAGGATTAAAAATATAAACAATACTGAACAATGAGATATATGGAGATAGTTTCGGAGAGTGATTTCTTGTAAAGATGTACCTCCTGATTAAAGAGAGGGGAGAGGGAAAGAATGTGGGAGAGAAAAAGAGAAAAATGGGGAGGGAAGAAAGGTAGAGGAAGGAAAGAAGAAAGAGGGAGGAAGGAACATCAGAGAGGGAGAAAGAGAGACAGAGGGTCAGAGAGGAGAGGGTGAAGAAAGGAAAAGGAAGGGTGGGAGAAAAGTAGAAGAGAGGCAGAAACAGAGCTCAAGGTCTCTTACCTGCCTTCTTGCTGTAGGTTTTGGAATGTGAGGACATTTTGAAGCTTCTACAACCATCTTGTGGCCTTGAAGGGAAGAACAAGAGAATCAAAGGGATACCACTCTCACTTATTGAACTCACCTGAAACCACTTGCCTCCAACCTTCTCTATGTGACATTTTTTGTTTTATGCCACTATTGGTCAGATATCCTATAATGTAGAGCCAAAAGCACCTAACTTGATAAAGAAGGCATAGAGGTGGGACTCAAACCTTACTATCTATGTGGCCTTAGAAAAACTTTTCAGTAAGTCTTATTCCCCATTTCTCTATACATCAAGATCCTCCTCACAAGAATGATGAAATGAGGGGGAGAAACACTACAGACAGTAAATGGCTATGAAAATTAATTTAATTATAAGTTGAAACCAAATACAGGCTCACATTTTTCAATGATTATTGATGTCATGTCCTTAGAGCCCCAAATTAACAAGTAAAGAAAAGAATACTATAAAAAAAATTGAAATCTGCTAATGACCAAAAATAGTTAAATTGCACATATCTCTAGATAATCTTTTTTCCAAAGAGAACTCCCAGAACCTCATTAGACCAAAAACTAGTTTTTTCATACAATAGTATAGCATGATTTTCAATAATAGGGATTTTATTCTCCTTTAAGTATGTTTGTTTAAAAAGGGCCAAGAGACATTTTTTGAGAGCATAACAAATATGGACTAATTAAAGAATAATTAATTAAAGAATACATCCAAAGGCTCTTTTTCTCTGACAGGTTGAACACTAACTTCCTGTGGTAATGGCTCACTCATTACAGTACCATATAATTACTCAGCATTTCACACCTAAGTACTTTCTATGTTTTTGCCAAATTAAACCATAAAACTAATATGGAAGAGCTTTAGACAGAGCAAATGATTGAGAAAAAGCATAAGTGTTTTATTTTCTAGTTGTCTGATCTACAACTCAAGATGACCTGGCTTTCTTAACTGTACACATTTGTATGAGTGAACTCCAAACTGCTTAAACTCAGACATGCAACCCAAACAAGCAGAGGCACAGCTGAATCTGCATTCAAGCAAGAGGCTTAGGCTTGAAAACTAATACTGGTTGGACTAGTCGGCAGTGTCTGTTTTTGTCTGCTCAGTATATATACTTTCCTCTCTCCTTTCTGGTAACAAACCCTCCACTAGCCACAGAATGTGCATGTGATCCAAACTGATTCAATCAAACGCTACATCCTTCTGACCCCAGTAATTGGTTCAGGAATATGTGTGCGACTCAAATAACACCAAACATAATCCTCCCTTGGCTTACTTATATGAATGTCAGGAGAAGTCCATCTTTAATCAAAGAGAATCAGCTGAGAGCATGGGAAAAAACTAATTTCACTGTTTGGGTCAGGCTTTTGACTTTTGCATAAATGACAGGTTGTAATTCAGATGATTTTTGATGAATATTCACTTGTTAATCCAAGGATGTTACTCAATTACTCTTCCAAACAGTAGCAAGCAAAAAGTGGATGGTGGCTTCAGTTATAATCTGAACTGAGATAGTAGGGAAAGATTTGCATCTCCTATGCCACTGAAAATAATAGAAATGGCAAGTAATTTAGAATAGAAATTAATTGACCCCGCAAAAAAAATACAATCCTAGACCAGCACTATCCAAATATTATGGGAGCCTTACAAGTAATTCTAAATTCTATAGTAGTCACATCCCATAAGATAAAATAAAAAGTAGAAATAATTTAACAATATGTTTTATTTGGCATGACATGCCTCATGCTATCATTTTTGTATGAAATCTATCTTAAAATTATTATGATATATTTAAGTTATTAGTACTAAAAACTATGTGTATTTTATACTTGTAGCTCATCTCACTTAAGACTAGCACATTTCAAATGCTGAAATGCTCAGTAGTTACCTGTAGATAGTGGCTAACCTTTTGGACAGTGGAAGTCTAGGGAACAAAACACCATGGTTTTGTGCTGACAGATTCCTAATACCTCTTTGAGCCAGGAACCAGAGTGATTCCCCTAATGCAAAATTCCACTTGTCAGTAGAATAAGTGGAATAAAAATTTAATCTTGAGGGCTGGAGATTTAGTTTAGTGGTTTCGCTGCCTGCTGCGCAAGCTCAAGGACCCAAGTTTGATCCCCAGGACCAAAAAAAAAAAATTTCATCTTGGAGATTTTGAATGGGAAATTCCAACATTATATTTGGGTGTGGAACCACTTGAGTATGTGTGTCAAGAATCTGAAAGGCCTCTTATAGACTACTGCACATGCCCAGCAAAAACATAACAATGAATCACCTTTTCTGCATTTGCACTCAGATTGTTGAACTCTATCAGCATTCATAACATAACCACAAGCTTTGGTACCATTATAAATTCAAGGACTCAGAAGACCTCAACTGGTAAATAACCACTCCTCAGAAATCCTGTCCCTGATCAATTTTCCCTTCCTATCTTCCAAAAGTCTTTCACATCTCACCATGTCCCTTAAGCTTACTATCTTTATGTACTAGCTTATTCTGTCATCTCCCCATGGGCAAATGGAAGCTTCAAGTCAGAATTTCATTTCCCTAAGCTTCACTATTCTACTTCAACCCTCAGACTTAGAAATTACTTTACCTATCCTTTTGCTCTTCTTTTCTGAGTCCCTTTCCATTCACTTCCTACATTCTTAGGAACTGCCTTATCAATTACCCACCCCTTGCAGAGTTAACATTTTCTTTTCTTATTTCTTGTTCTCTTCAGCATATAAACATGTTCAAGTTTTTCTTGTCTTAAAACCCTGTGCATCCAATTATTGCCACTGCTTTCTTCTCTGCATCTGTTTTAAATAAATTACCATCCTTACTCTATTAAAACTCCCTTAAGGGGTGGGGATTTAGCTCAGTGTTTCTGCTGCCTACCTCACAACTGCAAGGTCCCAACTTTGATACCTGGTACCAAAAAAAACAAAAACAAATTTCCCTAAAACCACCAAATTTCTCCTCCTGGAAAATCCCACAGAGCCTTTTCTATCTTCTTATTTCTCAGCAACATCTGACAGAGTTGGCAACATGCTCTGTGTTGAAACACTTTCCACTCTTAATGGCATGACTCCAGTCAGGAGAGATTTTTTTTATTTCCCTCATTTCTGGCTACTTTCAACAATCTCTTAGCAGCTTTTCTATTTGCCTAGTACTTAGTATTGTTGTCCCTCAAGTATCAATCATCTACCTTTTTGGTTTTCCAAATGTGGTCCATGGATCAGCAGCTTTGCCATTATCTCAGAAGTTGGTAGACATTCAGAATCTTGGACCTGAACCCAGAGATTTTGCATCAAAATCTGTATTTTAACAAGATCGCCAGGCAATTTACATGATCACTCTAGTCTGAGAAGTGTTCCTTTATATTTGCCATTCTACACATTCTCATGATTTTCATTACTACCCACATACTAATGAATCTTAGATTTCAGTAGCAATTTTCTCTTAAGCTTCATTAGCATACAATTGTATATAATATTGCCTATTGGCCCTCTCCACTTATTGGCATGATCGGCATATCAAACTTTGTGCGACCCCACAGATGTATCTTACTCTATGTGATATGGAGATCATGAAAGAGGAGTAATCATAAAATACCTTGTTTTACTTTCCCATAGCTGAGACAGAAAACCAAACACCCAACAACTTAAAGGAGATATTCATTTTGGCTCATGATTTTAGTCCATATTTGGCTAGCTCCAAAGGAAGGAGTTATGGCAGTAGGGTATGGTGGAGGAGCAATCATAGAATCAGGCAATTGGGTAATCATGGCAATGAGGAAGCAGAGAATGAAGGGAGGAGCCAAGCAGAGAGAGATATATCCTTCCAGGTCACACCCCTAGTGATGCACATCTTATTACTAGGCCCAAAATCCCAGCAGCTCACTTAGCTAGTAAAATATTCCTAATCCAATCACCTCCAAAAAGCCATACCTACAAGTGCATGAGGCTTTGGGGGAATATTGAGATATAAACTATAACATAACTCATGTGGAAGTTAGGCTGAACTTGACTTGAGCCCTAAAGTATAAACTGGGGGAGAGAAAGGAATTCAGATAAGTGTAAAATGAAGGGAACCATAAAGCATATTTACCTTCAGAATTGATAAATAATCCTTTCTTTCAAGGTCATAGTCTCCTGCCAGGGAATCTAAGGAAGAAGTAACAACAGTTCAGGATTTCTTTAGATGATATGAGAATTCACCTAGATTCTTGCTTTCTATCCTCATTTTACTCCTTGAAGGGTATTTGTTGAATTCCTGTTATGTGTCAGGTACTATTCTAGACACTGAAAAAACAGCAATGAATAAAACAGACAAAAATTACAGTACCAGCATTATTGCTAGAAATATTTGTTTTCTTCTCTTAATGAGTTAAGAAGAGATTATCATGCAAGGTGAGTCTCTTTGCGATCAACTCTCTGTTAAGGTCCAAGGCTCAGAAAGAATTCTAAAACATCATATGAAATACTTTAAGGTAAAGGTTTTATACTGGGGAAAGTTACAAGCAAGAGAAAATAGGAAAAGAAGGCCTGGATCGATCATGTTCTGCTTGCCTTTAAAAAGAAACTTGCTAGAAGCTGACCCCCTTGTAACCCCAATATTACCAATTCATTTATACAGTACTTACATATGTTAAAACCTTATATTACAAGAAAGAATAATGCCTTTTCCTTCCAGCAAGGACAAAGGCAAAGTATAAATGTAATTCTGTAAATTTACCACGACTGAGAAGCCTTTTAAAAGTAATTAATAAATTTATCACTGTATATAAAAACAGTATGAAACATCCTATTGAATCTTTATTTTACATATATTTCATTTCTGATACATTCCTCATTGCCTTAAAGGTTAACTTAAACCAGTGTCATACTTCAACTAAAATAGTGCACCATAAAAAATAAACTAGTGACACACACCAGTAAATGTGAAAGTACTCCATTAGAGTTTAGTATGAGCAGAAAAAATATAGATAGCAGAACACTAAACCACAGAAAATTTACAGTGGATTTATTGAGTAACTGAAAAAATAGGCCATTTCTGACACTTTTGCAAAGTGGTATCTTCCCTCAAACCCCAAGTCTTACCCTTAAATATTTCTGATAACTAAAAATTTGAACTCTGAGAAGCCATGAATATCTCTTTATATTTCTATTTTTATACTGCATCTTAGTGCTGACAAAATAGGGAATAAAAAAGCAGAACTTTTATGTCAGACTTCTTGTCTTTTATTTGATTTGAAACCCATTATCACATATTTGCAGAAATACATAATAGCACTCAATCTTTTTCTCTATCTTGAGTTGGTTTCCCTGCAATATTCACTGTCAGTATAAAATTATTGTGCTTACTCATGGAGACTAAATTCTAAACAATGATTACTGACAAATTTCTCTATAGTTCACTGATTCCTCAAAGAAATGGATTTTCTTTTTTTTTTATAGAAACGTCTTTTATTTGGCTAATATGTCCCAAAACAGGTCAGTTAGTAAAATAGATTCTAGAGAATATGGCCTATACACAGCCCTCCCTCCCCAAAAATAACCCTGGGGTGGACATTTCCCTCCCCCTGGGCTCATTGGGTATAAAAAATGTTTGGCAGCTCTGTTTATTATCTAGGCATGGGACAACATGTTCATGTCCCTCCCCTATTCCTACGGTACAGCAGCAGTAGGTGGTCGCAGGTCTCCCCTCAAACCCTAGCCAAAATTTTTGCCCCACCCCAAATATGGAACCAAGAAAATGGATTTTCTATCCAGCTACAATTAATTATAATTGTTACAGAAATCAAAATGCATCTAACAGGTTCAACAGAAAACAGTGTGCTTTGTTTCCTTTTTATTGTATGAGTAATCATATTCTCCAAAATAAATTAGACTCTCATAAACTCCCTTAAAAAGTGCCACCCACTGGACATATATACTGTAGAATATCAGGGTATGTGCAAAGAGGGGATGCAGGTTTGAGATTTCAGAGGAGGCATCAAAGGATAGTTCATCACATCTAGCCTGCCCAAGAATATAAAAGATCTAGGAAAAATGACACAGGTATAGTCACTATCTGGCAAAGCAATCCAGGGTTATAGTAGTATTTCTGCCTTTTAAAAAATCGCACATAACTTAGTGGGTTAAAAAAACCATCATGTGTTATGGCTTGTATCTAGATGTACCCCCAAAGCCTCATGTTCTCATAGGTGAGGCTTTTCAGAGATGGTTGGATCTAGGGTATGGGATACTGGGATTAAGGCTATGTAGTACTAAATTAATCCACTGACTGGCTTACTGTAGCTCTGGATGTGGATAATGGGAAGGCCCACCCTGGGTGAGGGTGGCACCACTGAAAAGGCTTGTAGCCCAGATGGAATAAAAGGGAAAAGGGAGGCTTGTGGCTTGCTGCCTCCTGCCTGCTCTGCCATAGACTGTTTTTCCTCTGCCATATCACACTCCCTTGGAGCCAGCTGACAATGGACTGAAACCTTTACAAACTCCAAGTCAAAATAAACCTTTTCTCCTTTAAATTTGGGTGTTGGGTATTTTGTCTCAGAGAAAAGTAACTAAGACAGTGTATTACATTTCATATATCTATAGGCTGGAGAGGCAGTTTGTTGATCTAAGGCCACTCCTGTACACAGATAGCTTGTAGGTCGGCTATAGTCTGGCTGCTCAGTAATGGCTTCAGCAGGGACAGCTAGGAGGTCTCAGCTCTGCTCCATATGGTCTGCTCACCTTTCAGCAAACTAGCCAAGGCTAAATCTCCTGGTAATACCACAGAGAGGCACATAAAGGCCTCTTAATGACTGAGTTTAAGATTGCCATATCATAGTAGGCACTGCATGCTGTTAGTTAAAGCAAATGAAGTCACCAGTCAGCCCAGTTTAAACAGATAGACAAATGGACTCTGCCTTTGGCAAGGCAATCTTCAAAATCATATTCTGAAATATAGAGGTAGAAAATTAAAGTATGTTAGCCATAAATCTACTACCCATGGGAAATCTCAGTTCAGCCTCCTTGAATATTGTATTTTTATTTGGCACATCTTTGGGGACCATCTTCTTAGACTTTATCTTTCTGAGGCTATATCTTGTAGATGTGATTACATTCTAAATGGCAAGTCAGAAAGATGATGGGAAGGGCTGGGGATTTAGCTCAGTGGTTTCACCACCTGCTGCGCAAGCGCAAGGACCCAAGTTTGATCCCTGGTACCAGAAAAGAAAAAAAAAGATGATGGGGCAAGAAAAAAAGAGAAAGATAGTGTTTGTACCTACAGGATTTTATTGGCCTTCAGCCTTCATCAAAAATATGCCTCAAACCCTTGCTGCAGTCTCAGAGTAGGTGCTATAAACTATCTTGCCCCTCAAATTTTAAAATTTTTTTAGACAGGCTCTCACTGAGTAGTCCAGGTTGGCCTTGAACTTGTGGCAATCCTCCTGCCTCAGCCTCTCAAGTGCTGGAATTACAGGCATGCACCATCATGCCTAGCTAACCCTTCAAAATTTAAAGAGGCCATGTGCTTTGGTTTGGCCAATGGGATGTGCCACCAGAAAAGAGTTAAAATTGCTTATGCATTCAGTTTATACTACGGTGCTTAGGCTATTATCATAAGAAAAACAGATCCTGGGGTAGATACTGACTCTTCAGCATGGAGCAGAAGCAGCCTAGGCAACCCACACATGCATAGGCCAGAAACAAATGCTTACAGTTATACACAATTGAAATTGTATGGTCTACACAACAAAAGTTGACAATAAATGAACTAAGAGAACAGATGAAGGCAAAGAGGACAATGGAGATTCTGAAGGCAAGAATCCAGCAGAGAAGTGATGACATCACTGTCTTTAATTAGGGTTAGCTTGACACATGAATTTTCTGGAAAGAAGTCATCGCGGGTCTTTTTTCTTCAATGAGCATTACTAGCTTTGATCTAAGAGTGTCCTTTCTACCAGTTGTATTTGTGTGTGTAAATATGTTTCATATTTAATAGTAGGTGTTGGTTGTATCCATTCATTTGGTAAACTTTGCATTATCTTTGTTAGTGCAACAGGATACATTGTTGTTTGCTCAAAAATTATCCCATATTCCTCCATCTGTGAAAGAGATTAACATGCTAAAATAGCTTGAAGGGCTTTGTTTTTTGTTTTGGGGGTATTTTCCCAAAGCATAATGGAAAAAATAATTGAAAACATTTAAGAATTACAAAGCAGTATAAACACTAAGTAATAATTACTTGTGAGAATTGAAATGAGAATTGCCTTTGCCAAGAATCTTGAGTTAGATTATAACCCCATTATTTGTAACAGCTAGCAAGAACCTTCATTAAAATTTCTAATTTTCTAATGACTGACTCCTTACCAGATCAAAATTATAACAAGTCTGTATTAAGTGTTGTGAAATGAAATGATATTCAGTGCAGCCAGTCAATGTCCTTCTGGGTCATGGTTGGCCAGAGCTGTCCAAAGTCATGCAACCATTGCAGAGAGATGTAGCACTTCCAGTTAGAGAACAATCTTTCCCCCATCAGGTAAGATTTATAGGGATACTGTCACGGTTGTAAAGTTAACTGACATGACATCTGACTACTAACAATCTAAAAGACTAATTGTTGATTTACTTATGTATGCACCCTAGTAATAATAATAATAATGTCTGCTACTTGTTGAACAGCTACTATGTGCCAGGCCATATATATCCCCAACATCTATATGGACAATTCCTTGGGCATGTTAGTTGTCAATAAATGCTTAATAAATTAATGCTTATAAGGTAAGTGTAATGGTTTAGATCAAAAATGTCCCCCCAAAGGCTCACATATTCAGAAGTAGGGCTTTTGGAAGGTAATTGGATCAGGAGGGAAATGACCTCCTCAGTGGAAGTCTGTTGATGAATTCATAGCTGAATTGCCTGTTGGAAGTGGTCCTCAGTTGAAGGAAGTGGGTCACTGGAGATCTGTTTTTGAAGGGTACATTTATCTCTCTGGCTTTTCCCCTGATCTCCTGGCTTCCTGGTTGACACAGGTAAAGTAGCCTTCCTCAAACATGGCCGCTGCCATGATGTTTCTGCCTTGGAGCCAGCACACCATGGACTGAATCTGTGAGCCAAAATAAACCTTTTCTCCTTTAAGTTATATATGTTAGGTATTGTGTCCAAACAGAAAGCT